GCAGAGGCCTCCATTATGACATATGTTGAAAACCACAGAACCAGAGGTGAGGACCCAATAAACCACCATTACCAGTGCTTCCCAGTCTTGGTGCACAGACGGAGCAGCCTATTGCTTATGCTGTCCATTCCACTCACTCACACATTCATTGAGCAGGCTCTCAGAGGCTACACATTCCAACCCCCTTCCCTTGAGGGTGGCCTTAACTAATAAGAAGTGATCAAGCTCTTCTTCTGGTCAAACTGAGCAGGACTGACAGAATAACTAACTGGGGTGCCCCCGGGGGTGTTACTGGAATCAGGCAGGCAGGCAGGCAGGCAGACAAACAGACACATAGACAGATTTTGTATCCTCCCTTTGGGGTCCAATATGAGCCACTCAAGCGGGGAGCCAGGAATCCTTCTCCACACCTCCAAAGGGACTTGAGAAATCTCAAGGGCACACCTTCCCATTGTGGCCTGGAGAGGTTCTTTCTCCATCAACGAGGGCCACAACCAATGACCAAAAAGGTCAGCATGGTCAGTCTTCCCGGCTGACACCCCAGATACAATTGCAAGCAGAAACACCAAAATAACACCCAGAATTTGGAGGATGATTTATTTACACTGAAGGGCACTGATTGGAATCATTCCCAGAATATCAGGCTCTGATCTCTGGTAGTCTAAGGCTTATATGAAATAAGCAAGCAGGAAGTACAGAGGCAGAATGGCTTGTCAGTGGGTGTTGGTTTGTATAATGTGCCTCATAGTGACCAGCTATGCATCAGAGTGACCAGACATTTCTAAGAGACAGAAGCAACTGGAACTGGAACAGGAACTATTACCTGGGCAATTAAGAAACTGAAGTATACTGGCTGGCGGGAGCATTTTCTGCTACAGTATAACATCAGTAACGTGGAATTGACATCACTGTGATCTACAGAGTTATTCAGACCTCACCAGTCATGTATAAGCTCATTTGCAATGTGTCGGGGGGGAGGGTGTAGTTTCTAGCAATTGTGTAATATGTGTACCTTCCCATAATCACCACCACAGGGTTCCATCACTCCAAGTCTCCACCACGGTCACCTTGACCCTCTCCCCCAAAATCTCAACCCCTAGATACCACCAATCTGTTTCCCATCTCATAAACACAACATCACAAAACACTGAACAAATGAAATTATAAGTATTTGCCTTTTGAAACTGCTTTTTCTTCACTCAGCAAAATTTCCCTGTGATCCATTGAACTTGTTGCTTGTATCAATAATTCATTCCTTTTGATTGCTGAGTAGTATCTCATGATAAGGATGTGCCACTGTTTATTCACTCATTGAAGGTTGTTTCTAATTTGGAGCTCTTATAAATAATGTGAGCATTTCTGTGCAGATTTTTATACAAACATACATTTCCATTTCTCTAAAAGAAACATCCAAGAGTATAATTTCTGCATTGTACGGTGAGTGCATTTTTAGTTTGAAAAGAAACTGCTATTTTCCAGAGTGGCTGTACCATTTTACATTCCCACCAGCAATGTGTTATTAGTGATTTGCTTTTCTGCATCCTCACCATTATTTGGTGTTAGCACCGTTTTCCATTCTAGCTATTTTGATTGGTATATAGTGACAGCTGATTTGTGGAAAAGAGGGTTGTGTGTGGTTCTATGGACTTCATATGCATTACCCTAATGATTAGTAACGTTGAACTTCTCGTGTACTTATTTGCCATTTGCATGTACTTTTCCTTTGGTAGTTTGGATTTTGTTATTGTTGTGTTGTTGTTGTTGTTGAGCTATTTGGAAGAGGTTGTTTGGCTGTTGGGGTTTTTTGTTTGGTTTTTATGTTTTTGTTTTCTGAGACAAGATCTTGTTGTGAAGCCCAGACTGCCCTTGAACTTGCAATCCTTCTGCTTTGTTCTCTTGAATGCTGGGGTTACAGGCATGTGCTACCACATCTGGCATGCATGTCTTTTTTTTTTTTTTTGGTAAAATATCTCCACATGTCTTTTGCCTATTTTCTAATTAGATTGTTTATATTTACTGTTGAATTTTAAGGGATATTTCTGTATTCTAGATACAAGCCATTTCTCAGATATCCATCTGGTTTACTCCCAGTCTATAGGTTTTTGCCTTCATTATATGGTCTCTCACAGAGTAAATTTTTTTAATTTTGATGAGGTCCAATTTATCATAATTTTTTTTCTTTTTGTAAAGCGGTTTTGGTATCAAATCTAACACATTTTCATTTTGTCAGCGGCCCCTAAGATTTTCTGTTTTTCCTAGAAATGTTGCTTTATGTTTTCATTTAAATATTGGCTCTACTTTGAGTTAACTTTGTAAAGCTTAGGCCAAGGGTTTTGTTGTGGTATTCTCTTGTGGGTGTCTAATTGCACTAGCATGGCTTATTGAGAAGACTGGCCTTCCTCCACTGAACTGCTTTTGTACCTTTGTCAAAAATCATTTGAGCATAGCTGCATGGGTCTGATTCTGGGTTCTTTATTCTAGTGCACTGACCCATGAGTCTATCTGTCTGCCAGCACCGCACTGCCCTGATTATTATAGCTACATAGTAAACTTGCTATTAAATGGGGTGATTCCTCTCATGTTATTCCTCCTTTTCAAACTTGTTTGGCATATACATTTAGAATAAACATCTCTAACCTAGGCAACAATCTCGGTGGGATTTTGATAGGAATTGCATTAAATGTCTAGATATATTTGAAAAGAATTGATATCTTTACTACTTTGAGTTTTTCAATAAAGAAACACAGTACACCTCTCATTTGTTTAGATTTTCATTTCTTTTGTTAAGGAAAAAAGATAAAATTTCATAACAAGATGATAGGATAATAATAATAGTTAATACATTGCTTATTATTACCTTTAAAGTAGTTACTCAGAGTACAAGATATGAGCATAAAAAATTTGCTAATCAATATTAGTACAAAGCTTCCTTTTCTATGAACTAAGAGACACTAATAGTATAACTAACTTGCATTTTTCTCTCTTTTCCCTTACTTCCTTTCCCCTTTCCCCCTTCCTAGCTCCTTTTACTTTTTAACAATTTCTTCCCATTTCACAGTATCTATTGTACATGTTAGACATTATTTACTCTTTCAGTTTCTCACACCAGGGACACAATAAGATGTTTACACATGTGAGTCTGATTTATTTCACTAATCAGTATAGTTTCAAGTTGCATCCAATTACCTACAAAAGTCTCAAGTTTATCCTTTCTTATGGCTAAGTAGTACTCCATTGTATAAAAACACCTAATCATTTTTATCTGTTCCTTGGTTCATGGGCATTTGGGTTGTTTCCAAGATTTAGCTCTTACAAATTGTGCTGCTCTAAACATGGTGCACATATATTGCTGTGGTATGATGTTTTTAATTCTTCTGGAAAGACACCCAGAAAGGGAATAGCTGGATCAAATGACACTTCTAATCCTAGCTTTTTGAAGAATCTCCATACTGATTTCCACAGTGGGTGCACCAGTCTGCACTCCCACCAACAGTGGAGAAGTATTTCTTGTTCACCACAGCCCCTCCAGCACTTGTTATTGGTTGGTTGCTTGATGGTAGTCATTCTTTCTGTAGTGAGATGGAATCTCAGTGTTGTTTTAATTTGCATTTCTTGAATGACCAATGATGTTAAACATTTTTTCATATATTTATTTGCCATTTCTATTTCTTCACCTGAGAAGTATGTATTCATCTCAGCTGCCCATTTTTGGATTGGGTCTTTGAATTTGGGGGGTCTGATTTTTTTAATTCTTTTGATGTTCTACATAGAAGCCCTTTGTCTGGGGGACAATTGGCTAAAATTTTTTCCCAATCCCTGGGTTTTCTTTTCACTCTGTTGGTTTCTTTTGATGTACAAAAGCTTTTTAATAAGATAAGGTCTCAATTGTTGATATCTTGAAGTGTCTCCCATACAATTTGAGTTTTGTTCATGAACTCTCTGCCTACACCTACGTCTTCAAGATTTCTACCTACTTTCTCCTCCAGTAGATTGAGTGTTTCTGCTTTAATATTTAGATCTTTGATCCACTTTGACTGTAGTGCATAGTGATAGATATGGATCAGCATTTAGAGGACCAGTTTTTCCAGCACCATAAAAAAGCTATCTTTCTTCCAGGGAACGTTTGGCCCCCTTGTCAAAGATAAGATGGCTGAATGTGTTTGTAGTTCTTTCTGCATCTTCTAATTGTTCCACTGATCCTCAGGTGTGGGTTTTTTTTTTTTGGCAGTGCCATGCTAATTTTATCACAGTATCTTTCAAGTGAGTATAATTTCAAGTGAGGAATTGTAGTGCCTCCTTTGTATAGTATAATTTCAAGTGAGGAATTGTAATGCCTCCTGCCTTGCCCTTGTTGCCCAGAATTGTTTTTGCTATTCTAGGTTGCTAGAATTCTAGGTTTGCTATTCTATTCTTGTTCCAAATGAATTTTAGGAATGTTTTCTCTACTTCTGTGAGGTATGTTAATGGTATTTTGATCAGAATTGTATTAAATCTGTATAACAATTTTGACAGTATGGCCATTTTCACTATGTTGGTTCTTCTTATCCATGAGCAAGGGATATCCTTCCGTTTTCTGATAAGCTCTTTGATCTCCTTTTTCAGTGTTCTATAATTTGTACTGTACTTTTAAATGTATAGATTTGTCACTTTCAATGTATAGACCTTTTACTTCTTTTGTTAGATGGCTTCCTAAGTGCTTCATTTTTAGGTGATGCTATTGTGAAAGGTGTGGTTTCCCTAATTTCTCTATCAGTGTTTGTTGTTCGTGTACAGGAATACTACTGATTTTTGAGTGTTGACTTTGTATCCAGCTATGTTACTGAATTTGATTATTAAATCTAGAAGTCTTTTGGGGGAGTTTTTGGGGTCTTCTATGTAAAGTGTCATGTCATCTGTGAATAATGATAATTTTACTTCTTCCTTTCCTATCCTTATTCTTTTTATTTCTCTTTGGTTTTTTTTGTTTTGTTTTGTTTTTTGTTTTTTGTTTTTTGTTTTTTTTTTAGAAAAGTGTTGTTTAATGGTACAGCTTGGGGCCCAGCAACAAGCATAGCGGACCACCCTGAGGCACTCACATGGTGAAAATGAGGAAAGTGACCATCAAACAGAAGAGCCCCATGGCTCAGACAGAGTGAAGCCCAGGATGGCATAGGAGAAGAGCTGCTGCTTCAGAGATGGGTTCCTGGCATAATCAATAATCCAGCTGCCAAACACCATTCTAATGCCAGCCCTGGATCCAGCCACACCAACTGTGGTGGCCCCAGTGCAAATAAAGTTGGCTGCTGTGTCAGTGTCCCTGGAGACCACACTGGTCTGGAAGTCCCTCCTGGCCACCTGGAGCTGGGAGTTGCTGCTGGAGTGCAGTTTAGATGGGTCTCGAGGCCTACTCAGGAAGGAGGCAGAGGTGGGCCTGCTTAGACCCTGGGTACAACAGTGGATCTGTATCCTGTCCTAGAGCCTCCCCAAAGGGCTAAACTCCTCTTGGTCTACTCATTAGACACCGAGGGCTCCCATATGACACACACCACCTGGGATGCTGCTTACCAGCACCAGAGACAGGAGCAGTGCCCCAGTGATCTGCATGTTTCAGTTTGCACTCCCTCCACCCTGCAGCCCCTGATCGGCTGCAGTGCTCACCCAGCCCAAGATGACACTTATTTCTCTTTCTTGTCTAGTTGCTCTGACTAAAGTTTCCAGAACTATATTGAATAGGGGTGATGATAGTGGACATCCTTGTCTTGTACCTGATTTTACAGTGAAGGCTTTCAGGTTTTGTACATTTAGAATGATATTGGCTGTGGGTTTGTCATAGATGGCTTTTATCATATTGAGGTAAAGACTATCGATTCCAATTTTATGAAGGGTTTTTATCATGAAAGAGTTTTGGATATTGTCAAAAGCTTTTTCTGCATGTATTAACATTATCATACGATTTTTGTCTTTGGCTCTGTTCATATGGTGCATTACATTTATTGATTTGTGTATAATGAATCATCCATGCATTTTTGGGATCAATCCCACTCGGTCATAGTGCATTATCTTCTTGATGATTTGCTGCATTGTTTGCCACAATCTTATTGAGGATTTTTGTATCTATGTTCATTAGGGAGATCGGCCTGTAGTTCTCTTTTTCAGTTGTGTCTTTTTCTGGTTTTGGTTTCAGGGTAATACTTGCCTCCAGGATTGAGTTAGGGAGTACTGCTTCCCTTTCAAAATCATTAAAGAGTTTGAGGAGTATTGATATTAAATCTTCTCTAAAATCTCTTGTAGAGTTCAGCAGTAAATCCATCAGGACCTGGGCTTTGGTTTGTTGGTAAGTTTTTAACTACATTTTCAATTTCATTAACTGATATAGGGTTATTCAGAATTTTTATATCTTCTTGGTTCAGCTTTGGTAATTAGTACATATCAAGGATGCTGTCCTTTTCTTTTGTGTTTTCTATCCTATGAAAGTAAAGATTTCTGAAGTAGGTACCGCTGATCTTCTGACTTTCCACAGAATCTGAGATGATTTCACCCTTTTCATTCCTCAATGCATGAATCTGAGTCTTTTTTTTCCTTTTTTGGATGGCATTAGCTAAGTGTTTATCAATTTTATTTATTCTTTCAAAGAACCATTTCTTTGATTCATTAATTCTCTGTATTGATTTCTTAGTCTCAGTTGTGTTAATTTCTGCTCTGATCATTATAAATTCCTCCTTTGTATGGGCTTTGGGCTTGACTTCTCTTTTTCTCCTCCTTCCTCCTCCTCCTCCTCCTCTTCTTCTTCTTCTTCTTCTTCTTCTCCTCCTCCTCCTCCTCCTCCTCCTCCTCCTCCTTCTTCTTCTTCTTCTTCTTTGACTTTTTGAGACAAGGTCTTGCTATGCAGTTCAGGCTGGCATTGAGCTCACTTTGTAGCCCAGGTTGGCCTTAAATTTACAACGATCCTCCTGCCTCAGCCTCCTGAGTGCACCACCATGACTGGTTCAATTTATTCTTCTTTTTCAGATACTGGAAGTACAACATTAGGTCGTTTCTTTGTACTTATTCTGTTTTCCTGATGTTTGTATTCACTGCTATAAATTTCCCTCTTAGGATTGCTTTAATTGTGTCCCACAGGTTCTGGTATGTTGTATCTGAATTTTTGTTTAATTGTAGGTATTGTTTAATTTCTTCTTTAATTTCATCCATGACCCACTGGTTGTTTGGGAAGGTGTTATTTGATTTCCATGTATTTATGGAGTTTTTTCAGTTTCTTTTATTAATTTGCAATTTCATTGCACTATGGTCACATAATATGCATGGGATAATTTCAGTTGTTTTGCATTTACTTAAGCATGTTCTATGTGCTAGTATATGGTGTATTTTCAAGAATGTCCCATGCACAACAGAGAAGAATGTGTATGCTGATGTCACTGGGTGGAACACTCTATAAACACCTACTAAGTCCATTTATTCACAGGTTTGGTTCAATTTTGGTACTTCTTTGCTGATTTTTTGTCTAGATGATCTATCTCCTGTGACAATGGGATATTAAAGTCCCACATTAAAATTGTGTTATTGATTTTCTAAATTTTTATGTCTATTAATATTTGTCTTATATAGTTAGGTGATCCTGTATTTGGTGCATACACATTAATGATTGTTGTCTCTTCCTCTTGAAATTTTCCCTTAACAAGTATGTAGTGACCTTCTTTATCTCTTTTGATCATTCTTGGTTTGAAGTTCACATTGTCTGCAAACAGATTAGCTACCTCTGCTTTTTCCTGGGTTCCTGTTGCATGGAGTATTGTTTTCCATCATTGGGCTTTCAGTCCATGAATTTATTTTTGAGTTAAATGTGTTTCTTTTATACAGCATATTGTTGTTTTTTGTTTCTTGGTCCATTCTCATTCTTTCTTTTCATTGGCGAATTGAGGCCATTTACATTCATGGTTATAACTGCTATTTATTGGCTTATCTTTGTGATGCTATTTTCCTGCTGTTGGTTTCCTGATTTTTCCCTCTGTTTAATTGCTTGCCCTGCCTGGTGGTTTCTTTCTGTTGTTGTTCTTGGAATTGTGGCCATTTTTATCTCTATCTAGAATATCTTTCAGTACTCTTTGTAGAGATTGTTCAGTGGTCATGAATTTCTTCAGTTGTTGTTTGTCATAGAAGTATCTTATTTCTCCATTAATTTTGAAAGATAGTTTTGCAGGGTACATCAATCTCGATTGGAAATTGTTTTCTTTCAGGACATAATATAGTTCACTCCAAGCTCTTCTTTTCTTAAGGGTTTGTATTAACAAGTCTCCCATGATTTTGATGGGCTTTCCTTATAGGTAATCTGTTTCTTTTTCTCTTTATTTATTTATTTATTTATTTTTTGTACTGGGAATCAAACTCAGGACTTTGTGCTTGCCAGGCAGGTGCTTGTGCCACTGAGCTATAACCCTGGCCTGTGTTTCTTTTCTCTGACAGTTTTTAATAGTCTATTTTTGTGCTGAATTTCTGGGATCTTGATTATTATATGTCTGGGAATAGATTTATTTTGGTTATGGCTAATTGGAGTTCTATATGCCTCACTTAATGTATATCAAATTCTGTTCTCATATTTGGGAAATTTTCTGCTATTATTTCTGCAACTAGTTTTTTTATGCTATCTTTGTTGACATCTGCTTTTTCACTGACACCTATCTGATGGAGACCACTATGAAGCAGCCCTGAGCAGGACTTAAATTATCCAACTGGCTTTTCATGTTTATTTCCGAATCTGTCCAAAGCCTAGGCTGCTTGTCTGGAAATGGGCAGCAGACTAATATTAAGTGAGCTTTTGTGAGTCACTGATCTCTACTGAGGCCTGTAATGGTGGATGAAGCTGGAAAGCCTCAAAGGATAAGACAAGATCACAGATAAGGACACCTAGATCCAACCTCAACTAGATAAAGACTATATCCTCAGGTATCTCACTGCTGGGTGGATTAATACCTTACTTGAAGAAGTCCTTGAGTGGTTTTGCCCTTCTTGAGTACTCCCCTCTCTTCCTCTGATAACTAAATAAATACAGGCCACCCAGAGAAGGTCTTGGTCTTAGCCCCAAGAGAATCTCAAATTCTTTAAGAGGGCTCTGATCTTCTTGGAGCCCTTCCATTTTCCTCTTTTATTCAGCCTTAACTGTTCACTTATTTGGGAGATTGCAGACTTGATCAGCCTGCAATAAATAAGGGATATTACTAACCTGATACCTATCAGTCTTATATTGTTTTTCTTTGCATCACCTTGCAGCTATTGAATTGTTCTTTCTTTTTTTTTTTCTTTTTTTTTTTACTCTAAAGAGTAAAAGAAGGACAACATAGCAATAGGGGGATTCACTGAATTACAGACAAAGGGGTAGGACATTATCAATGGTTGTTATTTTACCTATTGGTATCTTCAAGATAGTTTCTCAGGAAAACAAATAGACAAATAATAGTGAGTTACAGACAAAAGTGGCAGGAAATTATCAATGGTTCTTATACTATAGCTTGGTTTCTCCAAAGTTGTCTCTAGGGAAAACAAATAGAGCTATACATGAGTAATCAATCAAATAATCATTGACTATTCTTAATGGTTGTTGTTGTAAACACACAGTAACAAACATACATCCATTTACAAAATAGCATAGGAACAATACAAACATTACAGAGTTATGGACAGATTGGTAGGAAATCATCAGTGGCTGCTGCAATATATGTTGGCATCCTCACAGTGGTTTCTCAGGAAAACAAAGATATGCAAGAAAGATCCAACAAGTAGTTACAGCCCAAGGGTTGTGAAGAATAGCAGATTACCTCCTCATCAATGGCTCCCCTCACTGAGGTGTGACGACTGGAAGGAAGGCTAGGACTGAAAAGAAGGACCGAGAGACCAGCACCAGTGTCCAGCAACAGGCTGTCCACTTTTTCCTCTATAGTCATGATTTCATGGGGCTCCTCCTTGAAGACAACAGTCCAGCTAGAGGGAGAAGGCAGAGTATGCCCTGGGCCCCTTCATTCCTGCTGGACCAGCTGGTAGGAGGGGTTTGAGCCCTGGGGCCCCCACTCCAGAGGGCAACTCGACCTCTGTGGCCACCCCGACAGTCAGAGCATGGCCCAGGGGGCCTCCCAGACCAGTCCCTCCAGAGGTAGCCCAGCCTCTGACAGCGGCAGCAGATGAATGGAGTCAACAAGCCCACACACACACACAAGGTCCTGAGAACCAGACCCAGGGTCTGCCTCTCCCAGTGCTGCATTAAAGGCAGCCATTCCCTGTCAGTCTCTTTGCCTTCTCCCCTTCACCTCCCCCTCGCCACAGCCACAAGACACTGAGGAGGCAACTCCCACCACCATCTCAAGTGAGCCATCCGGGGCAAAAACCATTCTCTGTAGCCCCCTTCCACTATCTGGGGCTGACTGAGCAACAAACCCATCCTCAAGAGTAGTTTGTCCCTCTACCGAACTGGGATCCAGGGAAGTATGCTTTATCAATGCCTCTTGTCTAAGAAAGCAGAGGGGTGTTCTTTCCAGCCTCCCAGTGCATTGGGACCCCGCAACCACTTAGTGTCCTCTCCCCAACCATCAACACAGGCAGCAGGAACATGTGGATGA